CACGCGTTGGCCGCGCTAGGCCGGAACCCAGGGGCCACGTCCCGCGGTACAACGCTTACTTCGCGAGGCGTGGTTTAATGCAGAGGATGAGTGCGAGTAAAGGACCGGATGCTCAGACGACACTCACGTGGTTCTCGATGTCGCCTCGAGCCTCGGAGCTCTGGCCGCCGTGGGTCACGGGATCGGGGGACGGGGTGGGCACACGAGCTCGCGGCCACTGCTGCCCCCCGCTGTGACCTCGGGTGGGGACGGGCAGGTGCTGCCCTAGGAGCGACTGCACGGCCGGTCCGGAAAACTCGCTGCCATTCTTAACGTAAACCGCAGCAACCAGAATTTCCGCCCAGCTACCCAGCAGCTGACTGGCTGCAGGTAGGCAGGGTAAACCGGAACCAAGACCCTCGTGGTTCGGGCCAGGTGTTCCTTCTCTGTGGAAGGCAAGGCTTTTAATTTACCCAAATGAGAAACAGCAAGGAAAATGAGGCCTTGTGCTCTCCTGGCCAAGGTTGTGTAAGGTACTGAGATGCGGGCTCGGGCCGCCTGGCAGGGGTGTGGGGAGAGTGGGCAAGAGATGACCAGTAGCCAGCCTGAGCCGCCACTTACAGCCCAGGGCTTTGCTTTCAGGGTCTCTCCCTGCGCCCCGATTCCCAGCTGCCCTAAATTGGTTTAAGCTGGGAGCAACAGGATCCTGGCTTCAGCTTCTACTCAATCTTTCCCTCCAGTTTCCTCACTTTCTAGCCAGAATGCCAAGAGCAGGTTAATCTGCCTCAGGCCCCCGCTTCATCTGCGTGCTAGAGGAAGCCCAGAACCCTGTTTGTGAGGTTCTTAGAAGATCAGGACTGTGTTTGGAAAACAGAGGTCACTCCACATCAAGCCCTCACGGACAGCCCTTTCCCACGGAAGATTTTCTCTGATTGAGGGCTAGAAACCCAGGCCAAGCCCCACTTATCCAGGCAACAACAGAACCCAAGCTGTGCTGCTGCTGCACCCAGCGTTGCTTCCTGGGCTCTAAACTGGCTTCCGCCTTGGCCCGGGGCAGGGCGCTGTGCTCCTCACAGGTAGGTGCTGACGAGGACCCTCGGCCCTGCACTCAGCATTCCACTGGGCGCAGCTCACCATTACCAGGTGTGCCCTGCTTAGTCTGGGCAGCTCACAAGGCCTCCTCTCAGGTCTGCCCAGAACAGGAGGCGCTGCACGCATAGCCCTCTGCTTATCTGTGTTGCCTGAGCCGGGCTAACCAAGGAACTCAGTGCTGGTTAGGAGAAGACATAAAGCTGGGGGGTAAGGGTGTTCCGTGGGTCATCTCTCAGCTCTGCTGTCCATGTTTTCTGACAAGTTAGGGCCCCTCTCAGTTATCTGTAAAAGGGGACCAACATCTTCCCTGTGACAGTTAAGAGATGATGTGTAAATGTACCTACCATTGCCTGAAAGGCACAGCAGGTGAGGCTTCCTCATGTCCATGGAGGGAAGGGATCCAAAGACCCAGGCTCTGGGAAAAAGCAAGCTGGGGATAGGGGCGCTGTCTCTGGGTGCAGCTCACAAAGGCAAGTCAAGGGCACAGGTCCCTCCAGAGAAGGGACCTGACTGTTCCAGAGCCACCAGAAATGGCTTGGGCTGTACCCTCCTACTCTTCATGAAGCCACAGATCTTGCGTAACTCCTGGAGTACCAAGACTTTTCAATTAGTTTTGGCCAAGATAGCCAAGGGCCATAAGTAGGAAAAGCACAGAGAGGAGGCCCACACATCGAGGTCGGACACTGTCACCACAGGCTGGTGTCAGGACGAGACCTACTGGCCTGGGCTTCCTGTGCTCCACTGCTTTCCCTGGCCTGGTGCGGGATCTCCAAGCTCACCTGACCCCCTAGAGGCAGGGCCACTGCTCTAGAAGTCAGTGCCATGATGTGATTGTGACTTCCTCTGGCAAAGGCCACAGACCCGTACGCCAGAAAAAAGCCGTATCTCGTCAGAAACGTGGGGAAACAGAGCCCACACCTGAGGAGAATACCGGCCCCATTCAGTTCTCAGCACTGGCACTCACACCTCCCCCTTCCTCAGAGTCCTCAGAAGTCCAGAGTGCAGAAGTATCGATACTTACAGCCAAGAAGCACAAAAAAACACATGGGGCCTGAACTAGGGACGTGGACTGTGAGCACCAGCCTGTTGGGTGCTCCAGCTTCTCAGACCAGGCGACCATGGGGGCAAGGGGCAAAGGCCAGAGCCACAGAGGCTGAGGTTTATTTCTGCAGTAACCGAAATCATCTCAGAGGCTGCAGATGTGTCTCATCCTTCAGCTCTCTACACACCTTTAGCCCAGCAGGAGGAAGGGTGGCTTGTCACTAGGAAGGAGCCCAGAGGACCTGAGGGACCTCTCTCCCACCCGTCTGTGGCCCCAGTTGTACAGAGACCTCGCTCTTCCAACAGACATTCTGTCCTGGTGCAGGATCCCAGGCAGCAGCAGCGCCTTCCCATTGCACAGTGAGTGCTTTCAACCCAGAGCCCTTCCACCCTACTGCTGGCAGAGCTCAGGTCAGAGCTAAGCCCATGCCTTTATGTAGATGGCCCTGGTCCTCCTCTGTGACCCAGTCTCATTGAAGTCTTTTCAATAAAACAAAGACGCCATCATACTCAACGTTACCAGGTCTTCTCACCAGGAACATCAATTTACATATTAGCTTGCAATGCTGTAGTTTCCTCTTTTCTCGTGGGAGAGACTGGCTGTCGGCAAGGACCTTGCCCATGAGGTCCCCCAGACGCAGCATGTGGCCTGGACTTGGTATGGGTGGAGGGGACCAGACACAGCTCACAGTGGGCAGCTAAAGCCTCACTGTGGCTCCCTGCAGTGTCCCCCTTCATCACTGCAGGACACCAGCCTGGCACTGACCCTCATTCATTCTCACGATAACAGGGCGCGTGCCTACTCGGGGCAGCTGCCCCTCCCACTTGCCACCTTGGCAGAGATGACAGTTGTTTGTGGCCTGTTCTCCAGACCGTCTTCCCGGGTCTTCTCAGGCAGGGCGCCTGGTGGTGCTGGCCGTATACTTCCGGCTGGGTGCGCTGCACCTGCACCAGGTGCGACGCGGCCTGAGAGGCTGGGCCTCACCGAAAAGGATCGTCTCTAAGTGGGTTGAAAGCCACAGAGTGAGATGGGCCCAGGGCAAAGCTGTTCCGTGTGAGACTGGGTCTGCTTCTCCATGGGGACCAACAGAGCAGCCGCCCACTGACTCCTGAATCTGCTTTATTTCTCTGCATAAGGGACCCTGCACAGGCAATTCAAATTAAAACAAAATAAATATATGAATATTCATGTAAAACTGTCCTTTCTAATGAACAATTATACACAATGTACAATTCTGTGTTCACTGGGTGGGTTTACAAAAATGTATCATTCCCAACTAAAAATGCACCAAAATGCTTCCATGCAAACTTATCAAAAGTGACCAAAAATATGGAGGGATAAACCTGACCGAAAGCACTTTGCTTTTGTTGTTTTTGTACAATCACAGAAAAATAAAAACATCTAATTTCTTTGTTACCTTTAGAGTAACTAAGGTACTGTTTATCTTGTCGGTTTACGTTCCTAAAACATCTATGTAGTTACCATAAAAGTATATCAACATCGTATTGAAGTGAATGTCACTGAGGAAGAAGGTGGCAGCACCGAGGTCAGTAGTCGGTGTCGGAGCCCTCAGCATTGTCCACGTTCCTCGAGAGCATGTAGTTGTCCATGTCGATCGAGCGGCAGTTGTTGATGGCATAGCGCAGGCGCTCGGCCATGACCAGCTGGCTGGAGTAGGGGGGCAGCCGCAGCTGGAAGAAGCAGGTCTGTGAGGTAGGCAGACTGTCGTAAGGCTGTGGAGAGAGACCCAGAGGTGACTGCGGGAGCAGGGCTGTCCGTCCACCACACCAGGACAGGACAGCACTTCTCCCGACTTCAAGCTGGAGTCCACGCTCGACTCGAGTGGACGCAGAGCCAGGCTACGGCAGGAAGAGCACAGGCTCTGCCGTCCCATGGCCCTCGGGGCTTTTGCTGCCCACCTCCTTCCTCTCACTTCATCTAAAGCCCACAAGTATGAAGCATCGCGGTGCCTGGCTCAGAGCACTGCCCACCAAGAGGGCACAGCCCCGAAGCCGGCCATGAGGATGCCCACAGGGCAGACGCAGAGGGGCAGGTGTGTGGTGCAGCTGACTGGGAGCCGCTGTCGCCCCTCCCCACCGTGCTCCCGCACGTGCTGCACCCTCACACCCATCCCTGTGGCCGTGGCCGCCTGCACACGGTGCGGCTGAGAGAGGAGCACTGCTGAATCAGCACCTACGGCAGTTACGATGACTGCAAGCAGAAAGGTGCCGAGAAGAGACTGAGGTTTTAACAAAGGACACAATTCTGACACAGTACACAGAATTATGTGTCCAACTGAGGCACAGGTGGAAATGGCCACTGCTACAGAAGATGACATGGTTTCCCGTGACTCCCTGAAAACCATCATTTCAAAACTATCTACTTCTAGTAATGACATAATACTGTTATGAATAGAAATTTTAAAAATTAGTTTTAACAAAGGACCTGCCCTCTCTTGATCAGCTTCCTCTTACAATCGCCCTCTTCCCGGACAGCCCAGCACAGACATGCGGGAAACAGCATGGAGTGGGCCTGGAGAAACAATCTAAGAGGCCCACGGGAACATTCAGTGGCCACTTTCTGAGGCTGACAAGCCCAAGGCAGGGCTTTGTGGTGGGTTAACTCCCAGGCGGCAGGAGCAGTGCAGCACTGACAGGAGGTCAGCGTTTCTTCCAGAGTGGGGCAGAAGGGAGCCACTGCTCCTTCCTGTTTTGCTGTCCGTCTGGGAAATGTGTAGGAGGGTTCTTACTGCCCTGGCCTGGCACAGAGTGCTGTCTGCAGTTCAGGAGGCGGCAGGGATCAACTCAGCTCAGGCTTTAGCCACCGCTAGAACAGTGACTGGAAAGCGTGAAAAAGCAGAGGCTGAGCGGCAGCCATTTCCACTGGGGCCCTGGGTGGACACACTATTGTATCAATGTCAGAATTCTGTATTATTCTTTGTTTTAACCTCACAATCTGTTCTGAGCACTTTGCTGTTCTGCCTGGAGTCATCATGACTATCATTTTAGATGCTGAAGGATTTCACTGAGTGCTCCTGCCTCATTCAGCAGATGCCAAGACTGGTAGGAAAGGCCTGTACGAAGAGACACGCTCTCCTTACTGCTTCTGGACATATTCTGGAGAAGGGGCTTTGGAAGGGTATGGTGGGGGCTGCCTAGGTCTACCTTCAGACATGGGGTGGGGGACACAGGAAGGCATCCAGGAGGGCTTCCTAGAAAGCACCTTGGCACTGGGCTTAAGGCACAAGTAAGTACATACCAGGCATGGATGGACAGAGAGGTGTGAGACACTTACTACGCAGAGCAACACAAAGGTCCAGAAGTGTAAAAACGGCACAGCCTGCTATCATGGCCAGAACACGGAAAGTGTCAAGAGGTGAGCAGCAGTCTAGACTGTGGCAAGCCAGTCAGTGCCATGGCATTTACCCTGAATCACTACAGGGGCTGCTGAAAGGTACAACAGAGGAGAGTGACGTGGTGCTGCGTGCTTGAAAAAACAGCTCTGGTGGCAGCGTGTGCTACAGAACCTGAGCCCTTCTACCCTGAGCCGCCTGTGCAATCCGCAGAGGGGCCAGGCTCTGGGCCAGGGTGCACACTGCAGCTCCCAGCTTCCTCAGGTCCTTCTGGAGCGCACACACACTGTGCCCAGCTCCCGTGACACAGGAAAAGGAGCAAGAAAGGGGAGGGGGGTATGAAGATCCCTCTGCCAGGTCCCGTTCAGCTCAGGATGGGTGCTGAAGAGTCAGTGGAAGGTTGCTGGGTGCTAAGGCTCAGTCATGTTTCTGAGTAAGTTTTATAGCTTGATGTTTTAACCATCTGGATACTCAAGGATAAAAGCCTGAATCTACAGGCCTGACTGAAAGTTTGCTTTTCCCAGTACAGTAGCAACAAGGAAGAAATCAGAGTAGACCATACCGAGGAAGGAAAAACGGCGCACTTACCCTATCAACCTTCATGATTTGAAACCTCTGAGAAATGTCAGCCGTGTTGGCCGGCAGCCGGGAGCGTCCAGACACGAAGCGCATGAAGAGCACCCGCTCCTCGTTGGAGAACTCCTCCAGTGTGTGCCAGAACCACTGCACCAGCTGGTGCTGCTCGTCCACCTCGCGGTACCGCACCACCTTCTTCAGGACCTCCACGGAGATCTCGGGCATCCCGCACACCATTTGCTCCAGCTGCCTCGCGGTGAGCAGGGACAACAGTGGCACAGGGACAATCCAGGACATCCCTTCTCGGACTGCAGCCACCTGTGTCAGAAGAGGTTGTTCACCTTGCTGTAGGCCAGTAGATGGGCACCTGCTGTGACCCAACTGGGCTGGGCATCCTGCCTGTCGTCTGCTACACTGAGGCTGTGCACAGGACCACACTCTGCCCTGCCGGGAGATTCTCGTGCTCCCCTGACTCCAGTTCCAGTCCAATGTAGGAGCCTGCCTTCTTGTCCCACAAAAGCCCAGCTCCTTGCGGGTACAAGGATGCATACCTGTAATCCTAGCTACTTAGAAGGCTGAGTCAAGAGGATCACAAGTTTTAGGTCAGCCTGGACAACCCACCAAGACCCCGACTCAAAGCAGAAATTTTATAAGGACTGGGGATGTAGCTCAGTAGAGCACCTCTACATTTAATTTCTGGTACCACCAAAAAAACCCCAAACAAAAACCCCAGCCCGAGGCCCCGCCCAATCTTCCCGCTCATGTGTGGCCGTGTGCTGTTAAAGTATGTTGTGTGGATGCTGCATTGGCTCAGTAGTTCTAGTTTCTGGAAACCTCACGTACATGTCTTTTTTTGTTGTTGGTGGTTTTTTTGTTTTTTGGTTTTTTTTTGGTGCCAGGGATCGAACTCGGGTCCTCATGCTTGCAAGGCAGGCAGCAGAACCACTGAGCTAAATCCCTGGCCCCTGTAACTTATTTTTCTTTGGAAAGTAGTTATATCTTTCTTATATAAAAATTATCTGTGCTCAGTAAAAAAAAACAAAACAAAAACAAACAAACAAACAAAAAACAACTGAAAAGCACAAAGAAGAAGGTAAAAACAGGAAGTCAGTAAAGACAAACTATTTAGAAATTTGGGTTCTAAATCCCAGACTCATTACTCAGTAACTCCATGACCCTAATTTTCTCATCTGAAACATGACTCTAAGGTGGGCTTAACATGAGGAACTACCAATCGTACTGCTGATGTAATTACTGTGCTCTGTTCTCACACAGTTCTGAGCCCAGGCTGGCAGGAGACTGCTGAGAAGGAGCTGAAAGGGCTGTGAGGACAGTCTGCTCTAGGGTCGTACCCCAGCACGCATGCTGCATGAAGACCCATCACCGTTCAAGGCTGGTTCATAAATACTTTCCTCATGGCTAACTCAAAAGCCACATCTGAGCTGGGGATGTAGCTCAGGGCACTGCACCTGCCTGGCAAACTCAAGGTCCTGAGTTCGATCCCTGGTACCAGAAAACAAAACAAAACAAAACAAAAAAACCCATACTGAGGTGTGGGCTGGTTGCAGAAGAACCATTTTGGACATAACAGTCATTTCTGTGATTATTCACTATACCGCCCCCCCTGCCTTTAGATGCTTATTTGTCAGCACAGAACCAGAATAACTCAAGTTAACTGCATACAGAGTCTTCCAAGCTAACAGAAGAGCAAGACCCAAACTCCTGGGCTTAATTCTCAGACCACCAGAGAAATCTGTGCAATGTCTTGAAGAACTGAAAGGCAGGCAAAAGACCTCTCTAGGTGAGGGTGTGGACGGAAGCCAGTCTGTGTGGGAAGCACTTTGGGAGTCAGGCCCTGAAGGACTACAGAAGGAGAGGGAAGAGGCACTCGGGTGGGACCACAAGAGCAGCACCTGGGGTTGACTGACCCATCCGGAGTGGGCTCACGAAGACGTGCGAGTAAGCGGGACAGGGTGAGGAGAAGACTGGGTCTGAAAGTCAGGGTGAGACCCAGACTCTACCCAGCCAGCGACCAATACAGAGCTGATTTAAGTCTCTGGACAGAGTGTGAAATCCAGATACAAATGAAGTGACACAGTAAATACATAGGCCAACATGGAAGTGACAGCCAGCTCTCATCTGCAGACAAACCTAAGCACTCAAATGCGCCTCCCACAATCTTTCATCTCACCTGCCGGTCCATCTCATGGAGCCGATACTCAATGGCCCTCTCCACATACTCCTTCCTATTGGAAAATGTGAGCGGGATACTATTTCCACCAGGGATTATGGGAACCATTTTGCCATCAGCACTCTGGCCCACAAAAGAATCAAGAGGAATCATCTAAAAACAGAAAAAAAAAATTATTACATGGCAGAAATGGCAACAAAAAGTATGTCTCTCACACACACACACACACACACACACACACACACACACACACACCCCAAAACAGGAACAAAGTAGAGATTTCAATGAGAAAAACAAGACACGGGACAGATACACACACACACACACACCCCAAAACAGGAACAAAGTTGAGATTTCAATGAGAAAAACAAGGCAAACTGGACAGATGTGACTGATGAGGCTACTTGAGCATGGAATGGCTGACTCATCTGCTGTGGTCAACATGAAGCCAAATCTCTCTGCCCACCAGAAGGTCTGCTGAACTCTGATCACCCAGAACTTACTCTCCACTTTTCGTCCCTTGGTTCCCTGCTCTAAGGGGCAGAAAAAAGACTGAGGTGGAAGGAGCAGGAGCCAGGACTGGAGCCAGCTCTATCCATCAGCAGCTACTCAGACTGCTGTGGCTGAGCTGCTAAGGGCAGCACAAGTCAGCCCATCAGTCAGGAAGACCGGATCTGGCTGCACACATGAAAAACGAGTTTGTGCACACAGGAAGCCAACAGCAGTAGGATTTTAGCTAGCCCAGACCCACCTCATGGAAACTCTCCTCTGTAATGCCACTGTCTTCAATATGAAGAATGCTGTTGAGGGTCTGCACATAGAGCAGATCCACCTCCTCCAGGTCCTCCAGGGTGAGCGGGACGCAGCACAGCTGCTTCCACACCAGAGGAGCCAAGTGGAGGTCCAGAGGCTTCTTTGTGCGAATGGCAACCCCCATCAAAATCCCCAGGAACTTGAACTGCATCAAGTGCTCATCAAGGCAGGCAGAGGGGTTAAAAAGGAATCTACAAAAGAAAATATTTGAAACACGGCTTTCCTCATTTCTATTAGAAATGAGTTACCCAGCAGCTGCAGCATTAGATTAGACCTGCATGGCTAGAGATAGTAACCATGAACTATATATGGCTGTTGAAATCACTTAAATTGAATTAAAGTCCAGTGCTTTAGCTACCCTAACCATATTCTGAGTGCTAAACAGCTACACACATCCTGTGGATACTGTTTTGGACAGCACGAGACCATATTTTGAATTAATTTTAGAGAAACTATGAAAGTACAAGTTATGATCTATTAATCCTTAGGCTACCCACTCCAGAACACCCTATTTCCCAAAGTAATTTAATTATTGTTTGTAAGCCTTTCAAGCAGGATCCAAAATTTTTAAAATCTGTAAATATAAGGATAACAATTGGAAATCCAGTACTAAGCTCTGTGACTTGATAGTGTAATAAAACTTTTTAATGAATTTCAGTGTAGAAAATTTACTATGTGAAGGCCATCTGGGCCTTCAGAAACACAAAGTCCATCAGGTTTCATCAGTTCTGAGCTTCCTCTCCTCTCTGGATCACTGCTGAGTTGACCCCATCATTAATCCCGAGTCACGAGGACATGCCCACCCCGTCCCCTGGGATGAGGAGTAATGTGAGCACCTATTCTTAGGGTTACAGAAAGGGCTCAGGGGATAACACATGGGAAGCACTCAGCATAATGCCTGGTGCACAGGAAGCACTTAGGAAACATGAGCTAGTATTGTTCAGACATCTAACAAACACTTGGCAATCAATCTTACCTGTCCCTATTGTAACCCACTTCTGCAGTGGCATTAGGAGAGGGTATGAGAAGGTCAACTATACCAGTTTCAAGTTCCTGCAAAAGAAAGAAAAATGTTCTGTTGAGAGATGATAATCAAATGCTTCAAGAACAAATCAATCACACTGAATTTTACATTGAAAGAAGAATATTTTGAGGAATTTACAGTGCTATGTGACAGCCAGACATCTCAGTGGAAAATCTCCTGCAGTGAGAAGCAGCAGGGTGAGAAAGTCCAACCAAGAGTCAGGGAAGCTAGAAACAGGAGGTGGTAAAGTTTCAAACAGACTCAGCACATGACAGCCAAGTGTCACAGTCATGTAGTCACAGGGTTTACCAGAACGATCCTGATATTAGGCAAAGCTGGAAGGGACACAGTTGATCTGAAAACAGCTGCCAGTGTGGCTCTTAAAATCAGACCTGATCTAAACTCTCAACACTTATTTTTTTAATTCCTCTGGACCTGGCAGTTTGTTCTAAAAGCATAGAATAAATCAGAGCACATGGGTGGTCTTGGATTTGTTTGCTACATGAATATATTTATGCATTACTGTGCTGCTTCTGCATAACAGAGGTGCTTGCCTACAGAATAACAGATAGCGAGTCGCCAGTAGAGGGCAGTGCTGACACCATGTGGTAACTGATCTTCACCAAGCACCTCCCGAACCCTCACTATCACCCACCTAGGCAGCATTAACATTATGACTGCATATGAAGCTCACAAATGCACCTTACTGTATTGACGAAAGCACACCTGAAGGAGCAGACACTGGAAACAGAACCAGGATCCCTGTGCAGACAAATGAGCAGGGTGCATGAGCATACCTGGCACATCTCTGTTATAGTGTCATCAAACACTCCTCCAGCGTCATCAGCCCCCTCCCCGACCAGCTTAACCTTCCACGCTCGGGAGGGCAGACGGAGGTCTGATGCATTCAGCTTAACCACTTGTCTTGCTATCTGAACAAAGATGGGCTTACACTTCCGGCCCCTTAAAAAAAAAAAAGGCAGAGAAAGGAATGAAAAACAACTCATCAACTTCCCCAAATCACCACAAAGGTCCCTGATCATCAGTGACTTCACGAACAGGCCACTTTGAAAAATGCCCAACTCCGTGTTGTATCCACTGTGACACCTCATCTCCACCCCCGACCCTCGGCCCCCTGCCAGGTACTAAGGTAAGTATAGTGGCATCTTAGTTCATGATTGCTTTTGTTTATGAACAATTTGGTTTCCAAACAGAAGTGTTTGGCAAAATTTTGTTTTTGTTTGCAAACTCTGCATCAGGCAACAAACATGACTGTGGCCATCTTTTCCAGAATTGTGGAATGAATTAAATTCATGAATCAAGGCATCACTGTACTGTTTCCATCCTTTATAAACAAGAAAGCTAAGGCTCACAGAGATGAATTCGTAGTAACATTAATCTCAAAAATTCCAGCTGGGCAGTGAAACACCCACACACACACACACACAAAAGCCAACCTGGTTGATATTCTTTTTACAGTAATTTGAGGTCCATAGTTTTTGCCTTGAACCATGGTTTTTCCTATGGAGCGCACCATTGGCAGAGTGTAGACTCTTGGAGCTAACAAAGGTCGCAGCTGTCCCTGCACAATGCCCCATGTCCCGGCATTATAATGAGATGTGCTGTTCTGTAATACGACATAAGGTCATCAGAAATAGAATAACACCAGGCTTAAAACAACTCTTCCTACTTTTACAACATAAATTTTTTCTGAAGTGCAGTTTAAAAACATAAACCTCGGTATTTGTGACTATTACTCATACTATTAATAATAACTTTTTCAAAATAGCTTTTGACAAAATAAATGATTACCAATTTTAAAAAACTTATAAAATACAGCAAAGCACATAAGCATACACAGAAATGAAATCATCATAAGCCTCACATCTAGAGACAGCCCAGTGACTCTCTTTCCTTCCACCTCCTCGGTATGTACACACATACATACTTTTCACATTGAGCTCATACTGTTTATATAATTTCAGCTGCTTTCCTCACTTTGTCACTTTGTATAATAAAATGTCTCCACCTAATTACAGTTTGTTAATATTGTTTTTAGGGCCAGGGATGTAGCTCAGTAGTGCCGGCACCTGCCTTGCAAGTGCAAGGTCCCAAGTTCGATAGCCAGTACCAAAAAAAAAAAATTCTTTTTAGCGCTACACAGTATTCTGCTTCCTGGCTCATTTTCTCCTAACAGTGATTGGTCAATTCTGTCCATTCATCACTGGCTACCCGAAGGTTACATAACAACAGTTTTACCACGTGCTACACATTTTGGTAGATGTGCCTACATATTAAACTTAATTACTTTCCAAATTGCTGGAATGTTGTATAACAGACAAACCACCCAAACAAATACTAAGCAAATACTTTATTTCCCCTACCTCCCCTCCAAAGCACCCAGAATGCTCATTTGTAAGGAGAAAGTAGCTTGCCCAATTTCTCCAGACTGATTTATTAACTACCTGGTGCGGCCCTATTAGCTATGTGTGCTTAAGCTTTAATACTGTACATTAGACATTGCAGATAATATACGATATGTTTAGCCATTCATATTTCCTCAAGTTTTGGGCAAATCAAAACACAAAAGGAAGGCTACACTGTCCAGCAACATAACCATTAATTTCTGGAGTGTCCCTAAACTAAAATGGGACTAGAATCACTGTTGTTTCTGTTTCTCTTGAGTGAAAGACTAAAGGAACTATTAGCCACAACAGAATTTACCAAAAGCTAAGAGAAAGGCCCTGGGAGCTGGCACGCACACAGCAGGCGGGCTTACCAATCTGGCATGTTACCTGGTTGTTGGGGCTGAGGTTCAGCAACCTCCAGGATGAGTACATGAGGTCGGAGAAGTGGTAGAGCAGCCGGAGCCGGGCCCGCACGGTGTGGATGCTCACCTCTCTCAGAGCCCCATACTGTGGGGGTACTGCATCAGGCAGGCCCAGCTGCAGGGGCACTGACACACCTGCCCAAAAACAAACACACGGTTGTGAAGGAAAGGCACTGCTTTCACCTTCAGTAGTTTAGAAAATTGCAAACACATACAGAACTTGAGATAATTATGCGATGGACACCCATTCCCACCACCTCTCTAATATTTCGCTATATTTGCCTTTTCACATATGTAATCTATTCCCTTAGTCATCAAATTATCTTAGTTTTTTTGACGTACTTGTGTTGGATGTTTTAAAACTTTAAAAAAATTTTATCATTATAGAAATCTGGTTTTCTCTCCTTTAAGACTTTTAGTTAGAAGGAAGTAAAGAAGGGAGGGAAGGGAAAGGAGGAACCAAAATTCTTCTTTCGTAGTCCATAATTGTTATCTTCATAATGATGCAAGGTGCAGGCCAGGGATTTAGCTCAGTGGTGCTGCCTGCCTCATAAGCACAAGGTCCCAAGTTCTATCCCTGGTACCAAAAAAAAAAAAAAAGCAAGGGGCAAGTGAAGACCAGGAAGGTTGTAAAAAACAGAAGGGCACCTTG